GCTCACAGTGAGGACTCAGGCCAGGCTCCAAGCGCACAGGACACAAACCTAACCAACCCCTACCGTGGTTGTTAAGGCTCGAGGAAGGAAGATAGGTGCTTTTGTGCATAGAGGTGGTGTACATCTTAAAGAATGGAGTAAAAATGAAGGAATTGAGGGATTGCTTGAGAAAATTGATATCTTGAGTGATCAAAGTGAAAAGTGAGAGTAAATACTTTTGAGAAAAGAAGGTTCATGAGACCTTAAAATCTCAGCCAAGGTGTTAGAAAAATTAGATACAAAGGAGTGCAAAAGTTCCAAGACAAAATGGAAACCCCACGTTATCAACTAGTAGAAACAATCATGAATGTGAAATGCATTTTGTTTATTACATTGTCTTCAGTCTTACATGTTCCGTCATTTTTGTTTGGTTTGGTGTTTATGAGCTTCTTGCTTGAGGATACTGAATGTTGAGTAATTATTGACAGATACAGTGCTATTGTTGACGAGAGACTGGTTCGAACGCACATGGGGCTATGACAATAAGATAGACATGAAATTAATGATGCATTGCGCACCATTTTTACCTCGTTGCAAGTGACAATGAGTCATTGGTTATAGTCAACCATTATCGACTATCCTTTAGTTGGTACCATAAATAAGATATACCCTGAAAAAAGTTAAAAGTTGGACCAAGAAAAACTTGTGTGTGCTGCATGTGAGTAGGGAAAACATGCAAGGACATCATATGTGAATCACGTACACCGAAGTATATCGCTGTTTGCGTTGATTCACTTTGATGTCTGCACACTAGTAGAAGAAGGGGCAAATCTGAGACACATTAGTGCCGGTTTGATTTTGAGCCGGCACTAATGTGTCCATTAGTGCCGGTTCCAACGGCTAGTCGGCCGCTCTCATTAGTACCGGTTCGTGGCGAACCTTTAGCACCGGTTCATGGCATGAACCGGTACTAAAGAAAGTGGTGGCAGGATGTTGTCAGTCCGGGGCCCGTCCAACACCTTTAGTACCGGTTCGTGCCACGAACCGGTACTAAAGGTCGACGTACATAAACTCTTCGTCCACCCGAGCCACTCTGTTCTTTCCCTTTCCCCTCACTTTCCTCTATTCTTCCCCTCTCTTCCTCGAGCTCCTCACAAATTTTGCCCAAAATTTGTCAAGATTTGAAGGCCCCCATCCATTCAAATGATCACAAAGGTTAGCAACTTTGTCCTTTCAACTCTCATTGCTAGATTAGCTCTTGCAATGCTTTGTATAGTGATTAATTTGGGAGGAATTTTATTTGCTACTATTTGATTTATATGCAATTTGAGGTCAAAAATAACACTTAGTTTGCATATGTAGGTGTGGTTTACTTAGTGCCTTCTAAATCTCCGTCGTAACCACCGTCGATCGCCCGCACCATCCCGTCGCCGGCACCACCTTGTGGTGAGGCTCTTGTTCATGAATGTTTTACATTACCAAATTGATGTTTGTGTGATTTGGATATATACTTACTCGTATAATTGTCTTACCCATACGTTGTTTGTTATACATAGTGCCATGGTTTTGATATCCGTCCCCGTCGGCCCTCGTCCTTGTTATGATTCGGATGTGGTATATTCTCTTTTAAACTAGTTGTTGCATTTCGTGTTTATGACAAATTATGCCCATCAAGTTGACATAGATATTTTTATCCAGGAGGTATGTGAACCAGAAATTCCATCCGACCCTATTGTCGAGAGGTTAAATTTAGTTGAAAGAGAAAACATGTATTTGAAAGAAAAATTGAAAATAATTGAGGGGGAGAAGATGGAATTGGAGTTGCATGTTGCCGATGTCGTCGATGATCACAAGATCAAGATGGAGAAAATGAGGTTGAAGATTAGAAAGATTAGAAAATATGCCATTGATAGTGTGGCTTGGTATCATGCATTATGTTGTTGGATCAATTGTTACCTTAGTTGCGATCTTGATCGCATTTGTTGTTGCATTTAAATTCTTTAGCTAGAGTTATTTGTTGCATTTAATTAAGTGTTGTATATGAACTTTATGTATGAACTTTATGTATGAACTTGTATTAATTTGGTCTGTTCGGTGTTGTGTATAATGAAGATATGAGCCGACAATGGATGTATGATGACCGATGCTCTCCCAGGTTCATTAATGGCGCGCATACTTTTCTCCTTGCCGCTGAGGCAAACAAGCGGGCGGATAGTTTTATGTCTTGTCCATGTGCTGGCTGTAAGAATGGTTGCAATTACTCTACGTCAAGAACCATTCATGTCCACCTATTTGAGTCCGGTTTCATGCCCCACTATAATGTTTGGACCAAGCACGGAGAAAGAGGGGTTATGATGGAAGACAATGAAGAAGAAGAGGACGACGACATCTATCCTGGCCATGGGTGCCCTGGATACGATGATACAACAATGGAGGAAGAAGCTGAGCCGGCAATGCGGGAACAAGCTGAAGAAGAGGCATCAGATGAGCCCGCTGATGATCTAGGTCGGGCCATTGCCGATGCAAAGAGAAACTGCGCAAGTGATTTGGAGAGGAAGAAGTTGCAGCGCATGTTAAAGGATCACAAGAAATTGTTGTACACGAATTGCGAAGCTGACAAAAAAAAGTTGGGCACCACACTGAAATTGCTGCAATGGAAGGCAAAGAATGGTGTATCTGACAAGGGATTTGGAAAGTTGCTGGTAATGATAAAGAATATGCTTCCAAAGGACAACGAATTGCCCGAGAGTACGTATGAAGAAAAGAAGGTTGTTTGCCCTCTAGGGTTAGAGGTGCAGAAGATACATGCATGCCCTAATGACTGCATCCTCTACCGCGGTGCGTACGAGGATTTGAACGCTTGCCAGGTATGTGGTGCATTGCGTTATAAGATCAGTCGCGATGACCCTGGTGATGTCGAGGGCGAGCGCCCCAGGAAGAAGATTCCTGCCAAGGTGATGTGGTATGCTCCTATAATACCACGGTTGAAACGTTTGTTTCAAAACAAAGAGCATGCGAAGGCGATGCGGTGGCACAGAGAATACCGTAAGAAAGACGGAAAGTTGAGAGTACCCGTTGACGGTTCGCAGTGGAGAAAAATCGAGAGAAAGTACAGGCAGGAGTTTGCAGGTGACCCAAGGAACGTATGGTTTGGTCTAAGCGCAGAT